GTAGAAAAGTCACGAGAGCCATCAAGCTCGGAGCAACAAATTCCTGCTGGAGAAAACCGTCTGGATATTGTGAATGACTTCACAGGAATTGCAAACCAGCAGCTTTACAGCAGAGCCCATCGAGGAAATCGTGAAAGAGGCTGTGGATATGGTGAAAAAGATGGTGTGAAGGGGTTCATAATGTGGATCTTGGAGAAATTCAGGAGCTAATAGATCCCACACCAGAGGAGTTAACAGAAGATGGCTTGATGGAGATGATGCTTCCAAACCAGTGCCAGCCGATGAGCAAGAAAACGCAGAAGCAGCAGTGCCAGAAAACAAACTGACATTAGACCATCTGGCAGAAGGGTTCCGGTTATTCAAGACTGCTTTTGACTTCTTTTACGACGTGGACCCTTCTGTGATATGAGCACTGAAACTAAAGCAAACAGTGGAAGAAGAAGGATTGATACTATATAGAAACACTTTGAGGGAAATGAAAAAGCAAAAAAGTCCGACAGAAACCACAGAATATTCCTGTACACCGTGTGTGCCTTCCCTTCCGCCCTCTTCTACCTCTGCCACTCCTGAGACAACAGGACCAACCCCTGCTTCCTCCTCCTCAGCGTGAAGACAGAGAGGACGAAGACCTTTCTGATAATCCAGTTCCACTTAATGAATAGTGAGAATACATTTTATCTTCCCTATGATTTTCTTTTTCATTTTTTTTAAGTAGGAATTTATTAGAGGATAGAAAAGCTCCCAACAGCAGGATGGGTCCCAAAAGGGTTGCCCCCCTGTGATTTTCTTAATAACATTTTCTTTTCTCTAGCTCTCTTCATTTTAAGAAGAGTGTGTAATCCAATAACAGATATGCTAATCGAGTGTTTTATGTTATCAGTAAGGCTTCTCAGTCAACAGATGGCTATTAGAAGTTGGTTTTTGTTTTTTTTTTTTAAGTTGGAGTCTCACTCTGTTGCCCATGCTGGAGTGCAGTGGCATGCTCACGGGCACCACAGCCCTCGACCTGCTGGGCTCAGGCGATCCTTCCACCTCAGCTTTCCAAGTAGCATGCACCACCACACCTGGCTAATTTTTTTATTTATTGTAGAGATGAATTCTCGCCAAGTTGCCCAGACTGGTCTCGAGCCTCTGGACTCAGGCGATCCTCTCGCCTCCGTCCTCCAAAGTGCTGGAATTTACAAAAACAAAAAAACTAACTTTTAGGAAGACCTGTGTCCTGTCTTTCCTCGTCTGGAGAAAAGAAGGAAAAGCCAAAGACATCCCCCGGGCAGCACTTTTTCTCACGGTAGCCAGGACTGGCCCAAATCAGCCAGGGATGCCGTGAGTCAGTTCTCCAGAGGCTGGACCTAGTGTTTTCAATTCCATAGGCAACTTCCTCTTCCCACAATAGACAGCAGCTCAGACACTGGACCACGCTGTGGGCAACTCCATGGCCACTAGGGAACCAGGGTTGTGTCATCTGCTGCTCTTCTGCTTTTCCCTCCAAATAATGCTCTAGGCATATTTTAGTTAGCCAGGCTCTTTCTAGCAAGTCTCACTGCTGTGTGCGTGTGTCCCCCAAACTGGCCTCATGTTGTCAGGATGCATGGGCCCCAGCTTAGGGTTGTTCTCATGACAGATTCATCAAGCAGCGTAGTAAGGATACACAGTTTGATCATAAGGGGAAAAGACGGGTAGAATCTGGAGGCACCCACATACTGGTCCCTCATTCCCTCTCCCTTCCATGAAGGTCTTACAATGAAAATGCAGCAACACATGTGTGATGTGCAGGGAGACTCATTAGAGACCCAGCACCCAGAGTTTTCAGTGGGACTGGTCACAAAAGCACCCTCTGCCTAGCAGAGGAAACGATGGGAAAACTTCTAAGATTCACGTTCCCGGTGCCAGCCAAGGGCCCACCTTGCAGCCAGGCCTTTCTAAGTGGAGTCATCTCAGCCTGCTATGCTCACCCTTTTCTGCATAGACAGTGACTGAATCACTGTGAACTTTGTGATTTTGATGGCTGTATTGTAGTTTTGTGAGAAAATGTCCTTATTTGTAGAAAACACATTCTAAACAATGTTGTAATGATACTGATAGGGCATCAAGCTGGAAAGGTACTCTTAAAAGTGTTGGAAGGAAAAATCTCTTTGTCCTATACCTGCAGCTTTTCTGTAAATTTGAGATCGTTTCAAAGTAAAAATATATTTTAAAAAATATGAAAGGAAGCCAGGTGCAGTAGCTCATGCCTGTAATCACAGAACTTTGAGAGACGAAAGGATTGTTCAAGATCAGGAGTTCAAGACCAGCCTGGGCCACATAGAGAGACCTTGTCTCTACAAAAAACTAAAAAACAAACAAACAAACAAAAACTAGCCAGGCATGGTGGTATGCACCTGTAGTCTCAGCTACTCAGGAGGCCGAGGCAGAAGGATCACCTGAGCCCAGGAGTTTGAGGCTGTGGTGAGTTGTGATCGTGCCACTGCACTCTAGCCTGGGCAACATAGTGAGACCCTGACTCAGGAAGGAAGGAAGGAAGGAAGGAAGGAAGGAAGGAAGGAAGGAAGGAAGGAAGGAGGGAAAGATATATGAAGGGAGAATAGGTGCGGTATGGATGGAGAAGGATTGATTCTAAGTTGATAACTGTTGAAGCTGGGTATTAGATACATGGAGGTTATAATACTTTGCTATCTAGGCTGGGTGTCATGGCTCAGCCTGTAATCCCAGTACTTTGGGAGGTCAAGGTGAGAGAATTGCCTGAACCCAGGAGTTCGAGACTAGCTTGGGCAACATAGCGAGATCTCATCTCTATAATAAATCAAAAAACTAACTGGGCATGGTAGAGTGCACCTGTAGTCTCAGCTACTTGGGAGGCTGAGATGAAGGAATGCCTGAATCAGGAGATTGAGGCTATGGTGAGCTGTAATTGTGTCACTGCACTCCAGCCTGGACAACAGAGAGAGACCTCGACTCAAAACAAACAAACAAACAAACAAACTTCTCTGTCTAATTTTCCTTATATTTGCAATTCTCCATAATAACAACCAAAAAAAAAAAAAGCACTGCTAACAATGATGTCTTCTAAATTTCTGGAATGGGAGGGAAATTGCATTAAAGGATACTTTGCAGATGTCTATAACACTTTGCAGATGTCTATAACACTGTATTTCCTTTTTTTTTTTTTGAGTTGGAGTCTCACTCTGTCGCCCAGACTGGAGTGCAGTGGCCGCTCCCGGCCACCGCAGCCTCGACCTGCTGGGCTCCGGCGATCCTTCCGCCTCAGCCTTCCAAGTAGCTGAAGTTACAGGCATGCGCTACCACGCCCGGCTGATTTTTTGATTTATTGTAGAGATGAGGTCTCACTGCCCAGACGGGTCTCAAACTCGTGGGCTCAGGCAATCCACTCACCTCAGCCTCCCAAAGGCGCGGGATTACAGGCTGAGCCACTGAACCCGGCTAACACTGTATTTCTACACCTACACCTACACACACACACACACACACACACACACACACACACACACACACACACAGGAGATAATTAAAAATATAGATAAGCAAAATCAGTAAGTACAAAACAAAGTCATGCCATTACCCAGAGAACACCACTGGAGTAGCCCTGTAATACTTTAGCTCTTGTTCTTCCAATCCAGGAGGACATACATATGTGTATGTATCAAGATGACACTTTTTTTTTTTGAGTTGGAGTCTCACTCTCTCACCCAGACTGGAGGGCAGTGGTGCGCTCCCGGTCACTGCAGCCTTGACCTGCTGGGCTTAGGCGATCCTTCTACCTCAACCTCCCAAGTAGCCGGAACTACAGGTATGTGCCACCACGCCCGGATAATTTTTTGATTTATTGTAGAGATGAGGTGTCACCAAGTTGTCTAGGCTGGTCTCGAACCCATGGACTCAGGCAATTCTCTCACCGCAGCCTCCCAAAGTGTTGGGATTATAGGCGTGAGCCACTGCGCCCGGCCTAAGATGACACTTTTCAAGCAATGATTACCATCTTTCCATTCCCGTGTTTATCTTGTGTTCCTCATAACCTAACTCCCTCAGTTGACCTGAAAACATCCTCTAGAACTGAACTGTCCAAACCAGCATCTGCTCAAAATCACACACTGCATCTGGCCATGACTCTACGGTCTGTTTTGACGCGGCACAATCCTCTTTTTATGATACTGGAAGAACTCACCACCTCTGGGTGTGTCAGCCTGCTTCCTTGGGTGTGTGGCAGCCTCCTCTTTCCCTTGGTGTTTCCTGTAACCAGTCGGCCCTCCAGATCCGTAGGTTCTGCATTCACAGACTCCACCAACCATGGATCAAAAATTAATTTAGGGGAATAAAAAGGATGGTTGTGTCAATGCCACTATTGACATATTTACTTTGTGTTAGGTATTATAAGTAATCTAGAGATGATCTGAAGCATATAGGAGGATAGGCATAGGTTATATGGAAATGCTACTTCCTTTTATATCAGAGACTCGAGCATCTATGGATTCTGGTGTGGGGTTCCTGAGCTAATCCCCCGTGGATGCTGAGGGATGATTGTCTCAGTAGATGTGGCTGGAGACCTGACCCATTGGAGACAGGTAGTTGGGGTGGAATCCATCAGAGGCAACGGTACACTTCATCTGCTCGTCAGGAGACACAGAACATCTCAAGGACATCCCCCAGCAGGACGGCATGGGATGGCCCTTGGATTGCCTGATGCTGCCATCTATGGTTCCGCAACCCCTCACCCCCCGGCTCATAAGTCACAAGTGTGGTGTCACCTTGATGCTGTATCCATATCCCGTTCCCCCCCACCTCTGTCTAATGCTTGTAACATGGATTGATAATCTTTGTCTGAATCAATCATGTCCCTGAGCCTTGGGAAATATTGCTCCAATTCTTCCATTCCTTCCACAGGTATTAGCTGGTGTTTTCTTCTGCAGTTTTCCCTCCTCAGTTGGGACTACTTATTACTCTGAACCAACAGTAACCAAGGCAGTAATGAATTTATATTAAACAGATTTGAAGCAGTTTTGGCAAAATAATAAATTTATTACATACAATTGGCAGATACATGCTGCTGATATATTATTCTCTCACTGTTTGAAAAACATGTCAAGACGAAAAATAAAATAATTTGAAATACCACAATTACAAGTCTTCAAGGATCAGGGCTGGGCTCAAGGGACCATCTCAGTTTTCAATGTGAGGAGAACCCTCCATCTCCAAACATATATATTTTTTTAACCTAGTTGACTTCCAGCTGCAAGACCTGGTCCCAGCCCTGTAGCTCAGAAGCGTCAGGAGGTTAAGTTCACTACCCAAGGCAGGTGGAATTTTGCTAGCCCTAAGGATGTGATTCTCCGCTCAGAGTAGACAGCCTCCCTGAAGGGACCAAGTAAGTCCCTGAAGCAGAAACAATAGGAGGTATCAATGGGACAGAGGGGAGGAGCCTGAATGGAGGGGGCTGGGACTGAATTAGAAGATTGCTGGGGAGTCAGGAGAGGGGAGGTGAGAAGTCTTCTCCAGAATGGAAATTCCCCCATGGTCACCTGAAGGTCTCCCCTTAGTAGAGCAGTCCCTCCCCCTAAAGCAGCAGCAGTAGACAGAACCTTCTGATAATTTCCAGAATCTGAAGACAGGCCCCAACAGGACCCTTGACCACACCCAGGAGTTCCCAGTACACCAGGGAACACTTCATTAATGAGACATCCCAGTCAGTGGTCCCAGGTTCTGGAAGGCACGATCAGGCCATTTTGCGAGAAGGGCAGCCTTTGGCTAGGACGGACGGACTCGCACGATCACACTGGAGTTGGTCATACGGGCTCCATAATGGCCAGCCCAGAACTGTGTGTCCTGGCCCCGGTGTTCAAAAGACACAAAGCGGACGCCCATCTTGATATTGGAGAACACATGGGTGACCTGTAAGTAGACAAAGGGGTCAGCCCTGTTGTACCACAGTCTTTCTTTCAAAGTTGAGGCTGGGGCCTTCTGGTATTTTCCAGACATGGCTGTAACAACATTTCCTGTTGTGCCACATGTTCTTCTAGAATCCTGCCTCATCAAACGATGGATTCTAATCACCTGCCCCACGAATCTGGGTAGGTTTTCTTGTCACTAAGAATGTGGCAGAAATGCTACTGAGTGACTTTCACCAAGTGACTTCCAAGGCCTGGTCAGAAAAGGCAATACAGCTTCTGCCTGTTTCTCCAGAGCACTCATCCCTCAGGGTAGGCAGTCTGGCCACCGTGAGGCCGCCATGCTATGAGGAATCCCAAAGTAACCCGACGGAAGAGATCCCAAGGAGAAGCTCTGAGACTAAAGACAGACAGAGATGTGCCCAGCTGAGCCCTTCTTAAATTACTGACTCAGAAACAATGAGAGACAGTAAAATGGCTGCCATTGACTTTAAGTCACTACATTTCGGAGTGATTGCCAGCAATCATGGAGGGAGCTGGGACTGAATCAGGATTGCTGGTAGGGAGGTGGGAGAGGAGAGGTGAGAAGCCTCTCCAGGATGGGCATTTCCACATGCTCAACTGTAAGTCTTCCCTCAAGAGAGCAGTCCTTCCCCCCCAAAACAGAAGAAGTGGGTAGATATGATGGAGGGAGCTTCTGGTAGTTTTCAGAACCTGATGACAGGCCCCAATGGCAGCAGTAGACCATCACAGGCCCCCACCAGCCTTCTCCCAGACCCCATCAGAGACTCACCTGCAGGTAGATATTGTTGTTCCACTGCTGGATGGGATCGGGCACAGCAGAGAATCTATCTAGAACAGTCTGGTTGGCATCTAGAAGTTGGACAAGGAGTCGATACATACAGCCACTGTCATGTCGGGCTCCCCACCTGTGGGAGGAGGGAAGCCTTGAAGGCTGAACTTGCTAACCCGTCTCTTTGGGCATCTGCTTGCTCTACCAGAATGCCCTCCCCATGCAAGCAAACCCCGTTCCTCTAAAGGGACTTCTGGAAAGTGATCTCTGGACCTTTGGAATGTCACACCAGACAGGAGTGCCTTTGATAATGAGGACTTTGTGTGGTCCTGGATAGTCTACCAATGTGATTTAGGGTAGGGGCTGGCCGTATGCATGTAGATAGTCTCAGGGTAAGAGGTGGCCACTCTAGAAAGACAACCATGCGGTTTAGAATGGGGTCTTTGAGTCAGGCAGTATCAGTTGATCTGGATGCTGAGATCAACCACATATGCAATCAATCAATCAGTCATGCCTATATGATAAACCCAATACAAACTTTGGAAACTAAGCTCAGGTGAACTCCCTTGGTTGGCAATAATCCATGCACCTTGTCACACATCAATAGGGCAGTAACGTGTCCTGACTCCATGGGGGGAAGACAGCAGAAGCTCTGCGTTTGATGTTTCTCCTTGACGCTAATCTATGCTCTTCTCTTGGCTGATTTAAAAAAAAAATAGAGGTAGGATCTTGCTATGTTGCCTGGGCTGTTCTCAAATTCCTGGCCTCAAGCAATCCTCCCATCTTGTCCTCCCAAAGTGCTTAAGCCACTGTGCCCAGCCTCTTTTTTCCCCTTTGGTTCATTTTAATCTGTATCTTTTCCCTGTGATAAACCATAATTGTGTAATAGTTTTCTGTGAGTTCTTCTAGTGAATTATTGAACATGAGGGTGGTTTGGGGAGTCTCCCAAACTTGCAGTTGGTGTCAGAAGAATGGTCTTGAGGACTGTGCCCCCTAACTTTGCAGTGGGCTCTAAACTTCTCACTGAAATTGATACCTGGCTTTCACCTTTAGACACTCAGATTTAACTCAGGTATAGAGCGTGTCTGGACAACAGGACTTTGTAAAGCTCCCTGGGTGATGTGCAGCAAAATTTGGAATTCATTGATTATTAAAATCAGATGAAACACCACTGATCAAAACAACACAAATAGGTACATAACCTGATGAATCATGATTTAATTAAAAACAAAATTTATCAGAAATGCATCTCTGAATGTGGGTTGGGTCATGGGAGAGGGTCGGGTCACGCAACGCCCTTGGGTTATGGTGTCTTGATTAAGAGTGAATTTGCAAAAGCCAACATTTTCAAATGGTCACTTTGCCTGACTCCCCAGCAGTCTTCACATCTGGGACCACATATCATAGAGAGGGGCTTTTTCCCCATAAAACTAGAGAGGGGAAACCTGGAGAGAGGCTGGAAAAGGAGCACCCCATGATGCTTCCACAACCACAGACGTGATCTGAAACAGACTGATTTCCAAAGAGGAAGCAAATAGTCACCTGGAATGTGACTCTCTCAAAACTACCTCTGGGTCATGAACCCCTTGGAGAGTTTTCATGTACCCCCATTCCAAGACCATAACTGGAGAGTGCAAGCTCTGGAGTCAGACGAGTCTGAGCCTATGCCAGGTTCTGCCCAACCCAGGCTGCGTGACCAGGGCAGGTCATCTCCTTCTTCCGAACTTCTCGGCTTCCTAGGAAGCTCTGAGGGCTTCCCACAGGACCAAGGTTCAGAAAAGGTGCTCGCACTTATACAGCATTTGCTATGTATTTGACATGTAATAACTGTCTTTGTAAGACCCTTATCTTGTAAAGAGGAGAAATAGCCAGGTGTGGCGGTCCACGCCTGTAATCCCAGCACTTTGGGAGGCAGAGGTGACAGGATTGCCTGAGCCCAGGGATTCAAGACCAGCCTGGGCAAACATAGCAAGACCTCATCTCTACAAAAAAGTAAAATAAAATAAATTATCCAGGAGTGGTGGCATGCACCTGTGGTCCCAGATACTCAGGAACGTGAGGTGGAAGGATTCCCTATCCCAGGAGGTAGAGGATGCAGTGAGCTGTGATCATGCCACCGCACTCCAGCCTGGGAGACAGAGTGAGATTCTGACTCAAAAAAATAAAAGGGGGAATCAGAGGTGTGCTGCCACTCACCCAAGGCCACCAAGTTGCAAGGCTAGCGTTTGAATTTGGGAGGTCTGGCTCTGGAATCGGATCCTAGCCAACTCTCCTACCTTGTCACCTCCTAAAGCAAGGAGCATCTCATTCATAGACAAGACCGAGCTGGGTCCAACCAAGTCCTCTGGATTAATTCCCACCTGCTGTCTTCCAGCCTAGACCTCTTTGGGAAAGAGGAGGGAGTTTCAGGGTGTGTAGTCTGCTAATCACTAGAACTGTCACTTCGCCTCCCTGAACTTCACCCACGGAAAGGTCATGCACATGTGGTCAGTGCTTAGCAAGGTGCTGTTTTTATTGTCACACTCACCAGTCAGAGACACAAATCTCAATCCAGCCACTATCCAGCAGTTCTGGCCACAGACCTTCCTCCTCTAGGTCCACGACCTGCTTCTTGCGACACCAGCTGTGAAGGCGGGAGAAACGGTAATGAGAGGCAGGCCTTTCTCAACAACTGGCCTGGCCCTTGGGAAGCAGGGGTGTTCACCTGAAGGAAGTCACGAAGCAGGTCTGCGAAGGGGCCCCAGGCACGGATGTCCTGTTTTCCTCCACCACCCAGCCGTCCCCACCATGCTGCACCATCCATTTTCGGAGACCTTCTGCTAAGTCAAAAAAGCTTGTGCCCGAGTTCCAGTTGCCCGCCCGCCGGCTCCAGGCAAGACCCCGCCCCTCTGACACTGCCCACTGGTTTCCCAGTGAGGCCCCGCCCCTCTAGGCCTGGCCGCTGGTTCCCAGGAGGCCCCGCCTCTAGACCCTGTGTCTACCAGTGAAGCCCCGCCCCTGGCCCTTCCCATTGGTCCCCAGGAGGCCCCGCCCCCGGCCCTTCCCACTGGCTCCCGATGAGGTCCCGCCTCCAGCCCCTTCCACTGGCTCCCAGTGAAGCCCCGCCCCAGCCCGCCCGCTGGCTCCCGCTGAAGCCCCGCCCACTGGCTCCCAGTGTGGCCCCGCTCCACGGGCCTCTCGCAACCGCGGCCGCGGTGCGGCCCGGCACCCGCGACCCCTGCCCGGGCTCCCCACCCTGGCCGCAGGGGTTGCGGATGAGGTTGCGCCCGATGGGTCTGCCCACGCAGAAGCGTCTCAGGAAGCAGGGCTTGTCGTCGCAGACGGAGGGCAGGCGGCTGCGCACCAGCGGGAGCAGGGCGCGGCCGGCGGCGCCGTGGTCGCGGGTCAGGATCAGCAGCCACAGGGCCTGGCCGTCCACCAGGGCGCGCCAGCTCCGGCACACCTGGCGGCAGCGCCTCAGCAGCGTGCGGGGGGGCACGTGGCTCAGCACCACCATGAGCAGCTCCGGTGGCAGCCGGCTCAGGTCCAGGGCCTCCTCGGGTTCCGGCGCGGGGACCCGGGCATCCCGGCCCCTGGAGGCCGAGGCGCCCATGGTCCCCTCGCCAAGCCCGGCTGCGGCTGCGGAAGAGCTTCGAGGGGTCAGG